CCTGTGCCTCCCCCAAAGCTGTGGAAGACCAGGAACCCCTGGAGGCCGCTGCACTGGTCAGTCTGTAGCACCAGAAAGTGCCAGGACAATCAAGTTACTGGGGCTTCATCAGACTTAAGCTAGAAGTAGTGCATTCAACCATGAAATTTGTGGCCCTAAGTTTCACTTCTGCTTTTACCCTCCTTCTACTTCTAATAGTAAAAATGTTAAATACAATAAATTATCTTTTTTTCTTAGTAGAGAGAGGAGCCTGGCCATGGCATTGTAAGGCAGGTAGAGATTCATAACATCAGCAGTCAATAGGACCAGGAGAAATTTGAAGGTCACTATGAGATTCTACCCAAATCAAGCATGCTTCAGAGTTATCACAGCACTTCTGAAGTTCTGCAGCAGGAAGACTGCACAGGGAAGAAGAGGCATAAAGAGAAAACACCAACCAGAAGGTGACCTGTGACATTGGTTGGAATGAGTTCTTGGTGGATCTTCTGCCCCTTGTTTCCCAAGAAGGGCAACACGCACCAGTGTGCATCTCATCACGTCACTCCAGGTCACAGTGGCAGGGTCAATCTGATAAAGATCCATCCACACCATCACCTCTTGATGGTCAGGGCAACAGCAACCACTGTCTAGTGCAGAGGACTTCCCTGTAGTGTTATTACCATTTTACAAGCTCTATCAACAACTGAGTCTATGATCTCCTTCCCAGTGGTGTAGCGGCCCTGAACGTAGTTGTTGGCAGCATCTTCTTTGCCACTGATGATTTGCTCTGGGTGGAAGAGCATGCGGTAAGTCCCGGTCCTGATCTCATCTGGAAGAAATTGAGATATCATGATTGCCACTAGCATTGTCTACCACATTACTTGCTCTAGTTTAGATGCGGTTCCATGCTGAAACTATTAACCTCACTAGGAGTTTAGGTGGCCAACACCACTCTTCAGGTCAGCAGGAGTCACCCCAACAAGAGGTTTGGGGGACCTTCAACAACTTACCAATGACAGTGGGCTCCAGGTCAACAAACACTGCTCTAGGCACATGCTTCCCTGAGCCTGTCTCATTGAAGAAAGTCCCAAAGGAAGAGTCTGCCCTGAGGATGTCATGGAGGAGATGATGCCATCTGACTGAATCCCATGCTCCAGGCAATACAGTTCCCAACAGGAATTGCCTGTCTGGACACCAGCCTGGCCAATGTGGATGGAAATACACTCCCTCTGCATTGGGATGGCAGAGGGAAGAAAGTTATGAGTATGCACTAAGGAAGTCTAAAGGAGCCATTTCTTTTTATATTTGTGGGGCATACAGCCCACAACCTACATAAAGAGGAACCTTATCCCAGCTTAATGGCAGCCAGAAGACTTTCTCCATAGCAGGCACTGATCTAGCAGGAACTATGCATTCACCCTTCAGGGAGTTGTTGTAGTCTCTCACTAAGACAGATGCCTAGTGGTAGGTCCTTCTGCATCTCAGCACTGTCATTATATTGCACAATGATTCTGTTCCCAGGAACAGGCCACAGAGCTGATAATCTACAGCAATACTGTTGTCAAGTCAAACTGCTCATGATTTTTCTTTTCTCTGCTGTGGGGCAGAAGGCAAGGTGCCACCACAGCCTCCCCATATGCTCTCACAGCCCAACTGATCTTGGGCAGCAGTACAAAGACACCCCTCCACTGCACAGATAAGTTAAGTTTGGAAAAGATCTCTTGATGAAGAAATGATGGGAGAGGTCCCTTTCACTGTTAGGACCCAGTTATTGACTTGCAGAACAGTTTCTCAACCTAATTTAGATTAAGTGTAGGATAAACCTTCTGGAGATAGCTAGAATGGATCCAAGGAAGGATAAGTAAGGAATGATAGCTCATCTCTGTACAAGAGTCATCCCATGAAGCAACTGCTCATAGCTTGAGCTATATGGAGAAGGGCTCATGCACAGGATGTAGCTAAGGTGCTGAACTCTTTGACAGAGGAAATTTCTGGGAGGAATGTGATGAAAACACCCAACACAAGCACCAAGCTTTCAGTTACAAGACTAGAGATACCCAAAGAGTATTAATAGAGAAAAGTTTTGTCTTTGGCCAAGAAGGCCCTACAATATATTTAAGATAGATATGATAGGAAAGTTCATACCCATCTTAAATATCTTGATCTACAGCTTCCCTAAAGTTTGGTTTGCCTTTACTACCTGCTTTGAGTTATGGTCTGGGTAGGATTTGTGGCTGGAGAACCAGCATAGCTGTAATACCCACTGCAGGGCCAACACATGGATGCAGGAACTGTCTCCTCAAGGAGAGACCTTCACCCCCCACCCCACTCCTTATCTGTCCCAGCCCTACAGCAGCACCAGAGGGACATCCATCTTCATCTTAATATCACCACCAACACAGCCTCCAAGTTATCCTCATAATAAAGTGGAGGAAGGTATGAAAACATCAGCAGGCAAGTCTTCCCAGGGCTAAGGGCCCATCGCAGGAAACCTCTTTCCAAGGCTTCCACGTTCTTTATACCCCACAGCCACTTTCCTTCAATGAAACCCCAAAGTCAAGGGGGAAGCACCTTCCCCCAGCAAGAAGGAAGACACCCCAGCTCCTGCCCCCTGCACAGCTGTTGAAAAACAAACCCAAGCACCACAACTACTTACTATGACTCCAAACCACCAAGGCTCCTCAACAAAAATCACAGCACCTAACTTGGAACATACCTGACTGCTCTCTTGAGGACTCTTCTATAGGGAGGTAGAGCCAGGCTTGCACTTAGAGGGCTCCCTCCTGACTCCTTCCCCCTCCTCTTGCACCTGTGGGCAAAGTGTTCAGGTGTTTCTTTTCAGGAAGTGAATGTGGGGTAATGATGTACTCTGTAGGACTTGTACCTGCAGACTTGGAGATTCTTTGGTCTTTTAAATTTTCATTGCTGGTGGGAAATAGGACTGTTATGTGCCTCAGTTTCCCTCCTTTAAAATATGGATAAGAAATATGGTATAGCAAAAATTGATCAGAGATGCTAAGGCTATCGTGGAACTGATGGATGCCCTGGAGGACCTGAAACAGCTGTGGGGAGAGGTGATGATACACAGTATAACACCAGGACTGAGAAGCACCAATAAGACCATCACACTGCAAATGGAAAATGCTTTTATTTTCTATACAGCATACACCAAAGCAAGAAACTCATTGACTTGGGACGTTCCAGAGGCTAGTAACACAAGTTTTAAAATGTGAAGTACACCGAGGTGTGGGGACTGACCCTATGAAGGCTACTAAACCTTATTGTATGGTCCCCCGAACATAGTTTGGTCAACCCAACTGTGGGGTTACCTACTGTAGGGAATCTGCTTTAGCAGGGGGTTGAACTCAATGATCTTTAGAGGTCCCTTCTAAACCCTGTAGTACTGTGATTTTGTGAGCCCCCATCTCTCCACCCTTTCTGGGTGCACCCCTGGGTGGTGGGGCCTGTGAAGGGGGAGAGCAGAAAATGAGGTGTGATGGGGAGGCTAAACAGCTCTGTGTCTCCCAAAAAACTCTGTTTTTCCTCAAAGAGTGGCCAGGATGTGGCACTGGCAGCAAGGGAAGAGGACAGGTTCTTGAAGTTGTAGGTACTTGGTAAGAGTGAGGGAGTTTCTCATCCTTCTCAAGAGAGAGGGGTTGACTTTTGCACCTGACGTGCTCCATGCCCATGTCACCAGATGTGATGCAGGGGATCCGTGTGGGCTGCTGGGGTTGGCTCTGTCCCTGGTCACAGCCCCTCCTGGCCCAGCTCAAAATAGCACAGGACATCCCAGTGGCAGGATAGGGCATAGAGGAGTGGAACAGAACAACTCATGTGTGGGATGGCGCATTGCAAGTGCAGGGTAGGGCATACAAAGAGGAGGAGAGGTCAACCTGGAACAAAATGGGACATCTCAAAGGTAGGATAGGACATCTCAGAACAAGATGAGACATCTCAGGGGCAGGGAAAGAAACGCCGGTGGTGGCTTCTGATGTATCACTATAGAAGGTCCCTATGCCCCTGGTGTTCTGTGTTTCTGGTGCTTTATCTTCTGGATATATGGGATTCATGGGATACACCTTTTGTGGTCACAACTGGAAATCAGCTTGTTTTTTTCCCCAGCCAAGACCTCATAGATGTGAACACGGGCACCTTCCCATACAGCAGGAGGGTATTTTTGGCCAGATACTCGATGCTCATTACATTATACTGCCTGAATTCCTTCCTCAGCCAGATGGGCATGGGGTTCTGGGAAGGGATTCAGGACCTACTGTCCTTGGGGAATTGCCAAAATCCCTGCAACATCTCTGGTTTGCATTTATATGATAAAGGAGCATTGGCATGTGGAGGAGGAGAAGGAGGGTGAGGGGGGTCCTGGAGGCCAGGGGATGCCTGGGGGAAAGGATTATGTAGAGGCTGAAAGGGAGCCGACAGTAAAAACAGAAGGATATGATGGTCAGAGTAGACCCACACTTGATTGCACTGCAAAGTGCAATCAATACCTTTTGAATGCAATACCTGAAATTGTGTTCCATCCCTGCACAAAGTGTGGCAGGAAAGACTGAATTCTCACCCAGCTTTTAGGAAACTGCTGTCTGAAAGTCAGTGCTGTCCTTCCTAAGCCTTGGCTCCAGTTGCTGCCAGAACCAGGTGGTGGCTGATGGAGATTTCAGTGCTCCTATTTCTATCCCACTTCCTTGGGAAATCCGGCTCCTCTGACCTTCGCCTCCCTCTTGGCCCCTCTGACCAGCCTCCAGCCTCGCTTGGCAGAGGCTAAGAAGGAGGATTAATTTTGGAAAGATTTGTCCAAACCGGTGCTGGCTGTGGGTGAGTCCCCCACAGGGATGCAGCTGAAGAGGGAGGATCTCTGCTTTCGCCATCACTTGCCGTCAGCTGCTATCTGCTGTCCCTGGCTCAGCTTTGAGCTTGTAGTCATGGTCTGGTGCTGGCATACACGTGTAGACACCCATAGACAACCCTATGCTTTGGAAAGACAGTCTGGACAGCTTTGGGACATCTCTGGCCAAACCTACAAAGGGACAAGAGCATATCTGACCTTGCTTTGTCCAGCGAGATGTGTGTGAGCGTCTCTTGATTTTCCATCTGTAAAATGGGCACAACCACTGTGTAGCACTGAACAGCTCAATATACTCGTGGGGGATGGACATGTAGGTTGCTGGGCTGTAAAATGCATAAAGCTATGTAGATTTTTATGTAAAGATCCGTATAGATTAATGCTATAGAATAAGCTCACCAGTCCATCCTCAGCTCCAGGGTGCAGGCAGGAGGGGGTCACTGCACAGAGATGCTGTGGGCACGTTGGTGTGTTTTCTGTTGGAAATGTGTGTTAGGAAGGAAAGATGCTGGAGGATTGGTATATTTATTTGATTTTTGCTTTTTGGTCAACTTCCAGTTCTAAGGCCCTGGGCTGGGGGTCAGCTAGGAGCCTTGGCTGCCCAACCGTGGTCTCTCTGGGCATGAATTCAGCTGTCTTGCCTCCAGCTATGTCCTTGCAAATGGCTTGTGGATCTATCTGCCAACCCTTCAACCAAAGACCTGTCCTCCGTAATATCCCACCTGGTGTTCCCTGTAGCTATGACATGGATGGGATTGGTGGGAACTGTTTTGCTGCTCTTGGTAAATTTCTTCTGGAGGAAGAGGGCCAAATTTCTCACCGTCTCCCAGTTTCCTCTCCACGTGCTGGGATGGAGGTCAGGAGAGGGTTTCATCTTGGAACTGGGCTGTGAGGTGAAGAGAGAAGGGGATTGAGAGGAAGGGATATATAGCCCAAAGTAAAGCAGGTGCTTGATGATCTCTGGCTTGATGGAGAGTGGGTGAAGGGAATCAGGGTGAGCAGGGATGGTTTGGCCAGGAATATACCTTGAAAATGAAGCACCTGGATCTGCATGGATGGTGGGGATGTGGATGGGGGTAGACTGGACAACATGGACAGCCCTGCAGGTGGGTCTGGAGTGGCTGGTTAGTGATCCATGACTCTTGGGGTCCAAACTCACCTTAAGCTGTGAGAGAGAGGCAAAGCCATGCTGCATTCTGTGGTTGCTTATAAATGATCATTTGGATGAAAGGTGATGGTTTCTTGGATGAAGGTTTTGGCAGGGAAAAGAGTAGTTGCAAAATAACCTGAAATCTAGCATTCCCAGTAGGAGAAATTGTGAAATCTCTCTGGAGATCATAGTCAGAGAATCATTTGAGTTGGAAGGGACCCTTAAATGTCATCTAGTCCAATTCCCTGGCAATGAATAGGGACATCTACAGCTGGATCAGGTTGCTCAGAATCCTCTCTAGCCTGACCTTGAATGTCTGCAGGTATGGGGCATGATCCTCTTACCAATCAAGGTTTTCCCTTCCCAATATAGTTGTGACTGTGTATGGGGACAACCGTGTTTGGAGACTTGAGTGAGAGCATGACCAGGGCTGTTGTAGGAAAGGGAGCTTTTACAAAGGCTATGGACCTGAATGAGCAGCTGCTGGAGGTGATGGGAGAACCAAGCATTGGAAACTCAACAGATTGTAGCTTTAATAGGGACCTTTCCAAAACAACATGTCCCCCTGCCCTGCTGAGGACACCACCCTCTTCCCCACACATGGAAATGTCCAGGAGAAGGAATAGGGGAGATTGGGAAGGAAAAGAGGAGGAAGAAGAGATATGAAAGTTAGGTAGCTCTATGGGTCAAAAATATACAACACTGATATCATACACGGCTGTCAGTCCTCTCCAACCAGCAGGTTGGGGCCAGGTGTTGGCCCCGTGTGGCCATCCCCGCTCCAAGTCAACCCCTGCCCCGCGAGCATCACTTCCGCCGCCCAATTTGGGCCATGAGGTGTGCATTGGCAGCAGCCTTCGCCCGCAAGTTTTTGGCTTTGGCAATGTTGAAGAGGATATTCATGATGTTGGTGGGGACGTCGAGGGACAGGGTGACCTTGGTGCGGCGGTCGCTTTTGGCACGGTTTTGGTAGGTCTTCCCCTTCACCTGCGCCTGGGAGGTGTATTTGTAATGGCCTTCCCCTGGGAATGTCCTTTTCCCTCTCTCTTCCTCTGCTTCCTCCTCCTCCTCGGATGCTTCCTCTGCTGGATGGTAGTCATAGCCACGCTTGTCCAAGACGGTGTTTTCCTCTGGGAGGCTCTTCTGGGCCTCAGTGATGGCCGCGTTGAGGCAGCTGAAAATGGAGGCAGCGTTGTAGAGGCGGAAGGCCCTGCTGGTTTCTGTGGCACAGAGGAGGGCAAGGAGGAGCAACAGCTTGGCGTGGGGCATGATGGTGGCCTGCCCAGTGGAGAGAGCGAGAGGAGGGCAGAGATGGGTGTCAGCTTCCCAGCAGGCATGGGGCAGAGTACCACCATCCCTTCATCATCTCCTGTCCCAGATTCATGGGTTCAACTCCCAGATCCCAAAATCATAGAATCATTTGGGTTGGAAGGGATCTTTAAGATCACCTCGTTCCAGCCCCCTTGCTATAGGCAAGGACACTTTCCACTAGACCAGGTTGCTCAGAACCCCATCCAGCCTGGATTCACCTGGGTTCACCTCCCATGTTTCAGAGTCTTGACTTCACCTCCCAGATCCCAAAGACTTGTGTTCACCTCCTGTGTCCCACAGTCCTGAGTTCATCTCCCTCATCCCACTCTCCTTGGGGTTCACCTCCCACATCTTGAAGTCCTGTGTTCACCTCCCACACCCCAAAGCCTTGGATTTGCCTCCCATATCCTACACTCTTGGGTTCACCTCTCATGTCCCAAAGTCCAGAACTCACCTCCTAAATCTCAAAGTCATGGGTTCATCTCCCATGTAAAAAAATCGTGAGTTAATCTAACAAGTCTCCCCCAAGGTTCCATCTAACATTCGGGGC